AAAGGTTGCTAACTTTTGGTCAAAAATCTGCCTTACATACAAAAAAATGCAAAAACATGCCGAATCTACACCCCTTTCCCCTACATTAAACATTATAATGTTATAACATTTATATCAATCTTTATAAAGGTATACCTTCTAAACAATTTCCTTGGTAAAATTGTCATAAAACTTGTTAAACTCCTTTCCTAATATATAATCCAATCTATACATGGCAAAGCAAAAAACTAAAGCATACTTATACCTACTCCATACAAAAATAACTCTCCATGAGTCCTGGATAACACCAAGATACACTTAAATGTAACTCACAATAGGTATGTGTATATCTTGCAATTTATTCCAATAATTATTATTGTATATTTGTATTTTCCGATATTCTAAAAAAGGGGATTTTATATTTATCTGTATTTTTGTTTGATGCTGCTTTGGCAATGGAATCCACCCTTTCATTCAAAATAATCCCTGAAGGACCTTTTCCACCACAATTTTTAATTTTGCATATCTGTTTCAGAAGTACCTACTTTACTTTGACCGAAATCTTGTTTGAACGAAAGTAGGTGAATCTCATTTAAGAAAATAAGATTTTTTATGAAAAATGTGAACGAAGCCTTAAGCATGGAACACAATAGCCGGCCATACACAGACGTTATTGCGCGCGGTTTATCGTGTTATCTGCAAAAACATATGGAAAATCATGTACGTGAGTGAGTATCGCCGCGCGCAATGATAGAACGGGAAGGGATTTCAGACGTGCTTTTCTCTGGAGTGTGGCGTGTCCACACGCCACATTCCGCGTCACGGTTTACCTTTGCTTGGCAAAATTTCACGTTGAAAATTTGTACATGAGCACATGTAGTTTCAAACAACTCGATAAATGACACTTTTTGCCCACTCACATACGATTTTTCCTTTGAAACTGATATACCACGGGCAATCACTTGCTAAATCATTTGAATACTTTATCAAGTGTATGGAACATGACGCTTTTTTTGCCACGCCGTTCTTTCGTGCATGCAAACCGCTACATGCCAACACGCCACGATAAACCGCGCGAAATAACGTCTGTGTATGGCCAGCTAATGAGACGGCGCGCGACGGCGTTCGACGGCGTTAAATGTCAAACCAAAGTTGAAACAATGCAAATGCATAATACCGCACACAATGCACGGCGTTGAACGCCGTCCAACGCTGACAGTTGCTCAACTTTCTACTTTTACGTCGGCAACGCTGGAAACCTAACCCCATTTTCTGTCAAAAAGAGTCATATGTATGTTTTGCCGCTTATGTTCTGTGTTTTGTCTGTTGTTTTTTCTTTATCTCTGGTTGTTGGTTGTTTTCATAGATTAAAAAAATTTAATCTATGGTTGTGTTCTTTTAATCTTACAAGATGGACATTAAAAAAGTTATTTCTTCCTTAAAGTCGATGGAAGATTTTGATGAAAACCTAATTCAACTAGTTAAAGACAATGAAATTTTATATAATAAAAGATGTAGTGGCTACAAAAATATTATATTAAAAACCAGAAAGTGGCAGGAAATAGCTGAGGCTTTAGGCTCCACAAGTAAGACTTGTGTAAATGATTAAACAAAGTACTACAATTATTATTCTAGGTGAAGAATCCATAAGAAGATGGAAATCGTTGCGGGATCGGTTTACGAGAGAACTAAAAAAGGAAAATCTACCTTCTGGTAGTGGGGCAAAGAACCATCCAACATGGGACCTCTTAACAAATTTAGATTTCCTACGAGATCATGTAGCCCCCCGAAGGTAAGCCTGATTTATTTTGCATAATTTGTGGTAATGAATTTTCTTCCAGTACATCTGGTAACATGAACCCAGAGGTCGTTTCTGAAAGGCCAGAAACGGAAGAGGAAACGATGGAGGAGGCAACAGGGCAACTAGAATTTGAGGAAACTTGTGAATCCCCTTCCTACAGCTCTAGTGGTTTGTCAACCCCAAGTACGTCGGGTACTCAAAAAAAAAAAAAAACAAGACTGGAGGAGGTAAACCGAGCATTTACTGAAGGAGTGGCTTCTTTTCAGGAATTTGTTAAATCAAAAATTACCCCTCCTCCAGTCCAAACATCTGGCGAGAAATTTGCCCAATTAGTGGCTAATATGTTTGATAACCTTACTGAAAGGCACCAAAAACAAGCAAGGGTGGAAATCATGAAATATTTGGTATCATTAGAAGAAGACGAATTAAATAAACTGAATTAAAATTTAACGTTACTGTACAGTAAACCTTTATTTTAAAAAAATAAGATTGGATATACAGGTTGTTAATAAATTAGGCAAAGATAAAAATGCTTCAAGAAAGAAGACTTATTATTGTTTTTTATAAAACGTCATTTATAATTTAAAATAAAGACTAAATACAAAATTTGTAATAAAATTTCCATTTTTTTTTTCATACGAAATAGTCATGGTGGTTTTGTACTATTATTTGCTGTAACAAAAAATCAAGATAGCTGATTTGGTAAGTGTTAAAGTCTGTCTGTATGTGCATTGCGTTGACACTACAGCTACAACAAATAATCGCACAAAACAACTATGATTATTCTACATGAAAAATATTAAAATTGTTATTCAAATTTAGTATTTTGCCTTTATTTTAAATTATAAATAATTTTGATTTATAATCATACTTCTTTCTTGAAGCATTTTTATGTTTGCCTAATTTATTAACACCCTGTATATACATTCTGATTTTTTAATGAAAAACTCATTTTTTTGAAGAAGCAAAATCATTTTATATTTTTTTTCATATTAAAAAATTACAAAAAAATCCAATTTAAATTTTCTTTTATTCCCTTATAACACCCCCTACATCACAACATATTGCTGCAACGTTGCAGCAATATTGCTACATTGCAGTTGCTCGGCAACATTCCAACAACATAACTGAAATCTTAAGTTGTCGTGCAATACTGCAGCAACCTTAAGATTTCAGTTATGTTTTTGCAATGTTGCCCAGCTACTGCAATGTAACAATATTGCTGCAACATAGCAGCAATTTGTTGTGCTGTAGGGGATATTATTCTTAGTAAGTAGATAAATTTCTAGGTAATTACTTTGCTAGTGTGAAATAATAAATTTATTGTATTAAGTAAACTTTATTGAAAAATATAGCATTTTTTACTCATCAATTAAAACTTTAAAACTAGTGCTTCAGCTTAAGATCTGTTGTATTGAAACGGAACTGCACCTTCGGCCAAGAAATAATCAGCAAGATTTTCTCTTAATTCAAATGCACTACGTGCTGCATTATTGGATCCAAAACGTGCCTGACGAAGTGGACCTGTCTCTTGTCTCCATTTTCCCAATTGAATATTACCATCATCATCTTCCCAATCAATGTAGTTAGGCGGCATGTAGGTTTGGCTCTTAGAATTTAACATTATGAAATTATGCAATGCAATGCAGGCCAAAGTAATTTTTTCAGCGTTGTTTGGAAAACACTTTATTGATGTTTTCAAAATTCTCCATCTTGCTACCAGAATTCCAAAGCTATTTTCAATTATGCGCCTTGCTCTAGACAACCTATAATTAAAAATACGTTTCTTTTCATTTAAAAGATGACCTGGAAATGGTCTCATGATGTGCGGTTTTAAAGGGAAAGCAGCATCCCCAACAAAGTAATAAGGAAACTTTTTTCTGGACCCAGGTAAATCTCTGTCTCTTGGCAATGGTAATTGTCTACTTAATAATGCCTTGCCTACCGGAGAATTGTTTAATATTCCTACAATAAAAACAGTATTAAAGCAAAACAGATATTGTTCAAAAGCTGGATGCACAAACCTCCATCACTTTGGCTCCCATATGCGCCTACATCTACATGTGTAAAACAATATTTGGCATCACAAATTGCCATAAGGACTATACTGAATGTTTTTTTATAGTTAAAGAACATTGAGCCGCTCTTTGGAGGACATTCAATCTCTATGTGCTTCCCATCAATGGCACCAACACAATTAGGCATATTCCATTTCTCCCAAAAATCATGAGATATTTTTTTAAAATCTTTATTATTTGGAGGACTAACATACAGTGGTGACAAAACTTCCCAAAGTGCCTCACAAGTTTCCAATATAATTTTTCGAACTGTGGATTTGCCCATTTGGAAACTCCATGCCAAAAATTGATGAGACACTCCTTGTGATAAGTATCTGAAAAAATCTGCTATTTGGTGGAAATGAACATTATCCTAATATTAAAAATTACGTTAATGTTACTGCCAAACGGCATTCGAAGTTAATTGGAGTTCTGATTGATGATTTTGTCAACTTTTCTTTGAGTAGGGACAATAATAAATCGTAAACATCTCTGTCCATCCTTGTGTGTTTAAAAAACTGTTCCGGGTCACGCTCTTTCATTTTTTTGTACATTTTATTAAAGTATCCAGATTCATCTCGATCTTGGTATATTTCTCTCACCCACCATCGTCTTGGACGCCGTTCCGCTTCAGTATTACTGACGATATACCAATAAGTCAAAAAAAGTATTTGGAACATAACTACTACCATTTCGTCATCATTCATTATAAATTAAAAATTCTTAACACCCACAAACAAAACAAATAATCTCGTTTTTGCAATTATATTTTAGGTTAGATAACCACCATCTGTCAGATTTACTGTCAAATAAATGTCACTCAACGACGTTCAACACCGTCATTGTATGCAGCCAAGATTTCAAAACGTTGCGTCGCGTTTGCGTTGCGTTTGACGCCGTCGAACGCCGTCCATTGTGTTCCACCCTTAACGCCTTTGACGTTTCAAAAACAACGTTGCCACACATTTTAGACCCATCGCGCTTTTAAATTTTAGACCCATCGAGTTTAGATCTCTCGTGTTTGGGTGTCACGAAGCGTACCCCTTCGAAGGTCATGTAAATTTTCGATCTGGCGAGATTCGATCTATTGAGTTTCGATGCAACGAGCTGTTCCCTTTAATACAACAATAACTGTTTTTTTAACAAAAATATTTGGTTTATGTCTTAACTTGAACAAAACCCAACAGTTTTATTCGTTTTCATTTGGCAACATTGCGGGGTGAGTCAACTTGTGAATTTGTTTTTCGAAACGTCAGATTGCCGTATTATTTTGTTTGTTGTTTCTTTGTTAATAAATGATTTACAGCTCTCAAAGCTGTCAATTTGGCAGGTAACAAATAAACGAAAGTTTATCGATAGGATAGTTATTTAAATTATGTATACATTTTAGTTTTTTACATTAATAAGTATTGATTGTTTACGTCAGTATAACTTACACAACAGTAAATTTTATGGTGTTATATTGTTATTTAAAAAGGGCTACTTAAACATTAACCATGGAGGCTGCCCCTAGGCTTCCAATGATACAATTTAATCTCTTGACTAGTAATGAACCAACGTCATTTGGGACTGCTTTAAAACAGGTAAACTGCTAATTAATAAACAAAGCAACATCAATTTACGATTACTTTTAGTATATCCAAGCATTTTACAATGAAGAACCGGAGTCCTACTCTAATGAAATCCATAGTTTAGAAGGTTTACGAGCATTAGCAACTAGGCCAACCGTTGATATTTCAGGATGTGAAGCTTTAAGGAAATATTACTGTCAGTTGCATTTTTTAAAGTCCAGATTTCCCATGGAAGAAGGACAACCAGCAGCAGTGCACTTTTCATGGAAAAGTTCACCCTCCTCTTCGAATTGTACTGTTGGTGATATTCGTTTTGAGTTAATGTGTGTATTGTACAACATAGGAGCATTACATACTCAATTGGGTGCTGCAGACTTAAGAACTTCGCCAGAAGGAATGAAAATGGCTTGCACACATTTTCAATGTGCTGCTTGGGCATTTCAAGTAAGAAATTTAGCATTATGTTTAGCATTTAACTTTAAATATTTATTTTTAGACAATTAAAGAAACATATGGCCATTCAGTAAATTTTATATCATCCTTCTTTGTAATACATTTTTTTCAACAAGTATGTTTGGCTCAAGCCCAAGAATGTATATTGGAAAAAAGTATGTTGGATAATCGCAAGGCTTCAAGCATAGCAAAAGTTGCAGTCCAAGTGTATGACTACTACCGATCAGCTTTAAATATTTTGCAAAATAATCAAGAAGAGGCTGGTGTAACTGAAGGATTAGACTATAAGGTTTTTAAGGGCTGGATCAAGTATTTGTCATTTAAGTTGGCATATCATAAATGCATAGCACTGCTATTCCAAGGGCAGCAGGCTGAGGAACAGCAGAAAATGGGTGAAAGGGTGGCTTTTTATCAGGCAGCCTGTGAGCAGCTTGAAGATGCCAGGAAGTTGGCTACAAATTTTAAAAATCAACAGGTAAGTAGGTACTTTTTATTTATTAAACCCAAAAAGAATAAATGATTCCATAGCAGGTACAATAGTAGGACAATAAAAATATTCAACAAATATTATATAAAAACACTAAAGGTCTGTTCAGAGTGGCAGCGTCGCGCTGCGTCGAGCGTCGCGTTGCGTCGAGCGTCGCGTCGGCTACTAAACGATCCAATGTATCTAAACACAAAGATTCAGAGTGGAAGCGTTGGTAAAGCCTAGCGTTTAGCGTTCATTATAGCGTCAGCTGAGCGTCAGCGTCCGAAACAATTTGGATTGTTTTCGACAGCGTTTTTAGCATTCAAAATGACCGGAGCAAGACCTTGCGGAGATTCTAATTGCGGAAGTTTAAGCCAGGCCTTCCATATGGAACCCAAAATTGAGTTCCTATAAAAATAAAAATTTAAGGAACAAGGAATACGCCGAAGTGGATGAAATTTTGGGAATTTCCAGTAAGTAGTTATTAAATTTATGTTAATAAATTTTAATAGGGTGTTTCTAACAACAACATTAAACGAACCGCTTTCATTGAAGGCATTTTAAAAACTGAAATGGAAATAGAACGCTATAGCGTAGTATACCACTCTGAAGGCGACGCTACTACTCTGAACAGTCTGGCGCGACGCAGACGCAACGCTTGACGCAACGCGACGCTCGACGCAGCGCGACGCTGCCACTCTGAACAGACCTTAAAATATAAAATTTATCACAGTTTTCTTATAGATAAATAATAGTTTTTGACTGATGTCGAATTTTTTTTTATTGGTCTTTGGTTTTTTGTTGTCTACATTGTACCATTTCAGAGCAGATTATGTTATTCTCCTTTCTCCAAAATTAGTGATATTCAGAGCAATGTGATAATGTTGGTTGGTCCTCATGTTATGTTTATGTTTATCACAGTTTTTAGTTAGGTTGATAGTTGTTTCTATTAGGTTATTTCTAAGTTTATACACCACTTTGACACTATCCAGCATTATTAGCTCCACAATGTTTAAAACTTTTAGTTCATTGTTAGGAAAGGTTTGTTAAATAAGAGCTTGAGAAGTCTATTTTGTGTTACTTGCAAACTCTTAAGTCCTTTTTTTGCGTGCCCCCAAAAATCTGGAAGATACATTAAGTGGGAGTTAATGTAACTGTTTCACTTTAACATCACATTCAGTTATGTCATTGATGTAAACTAGGAAAAGTAGTGGCCATAGCACTGAGCCTTGTGGAACTCCATAGTGAATTTCTTCCATTTCACTATTTTTGTCACCAATGCATTGCAATGCTTGTGTACTGGAACCAGTTGTGAAATTAGTTGGTAAATATAAATATTATCCGTCAAACTCGCCTTCGGCTCGTGTTACAGAATGTACTATTGTTGGTTCCCCTTAAGGATGACCATAGTCTTTCTGTCCAGTTGATTCAATTTTATATTATAACTTATACTTAAGTTGTTAATTATTGCATAAAAGTTTTATAATTTATACAAATAAGAAAGATACATATTTTGTAACATTTAATTAAATAATTATGTTATAAAATTAATTAAAATATTTCATGAAATAAATTTTATATTTTATAGTTATGAGCCTTGTTCTTTATCTAGATTTTTTTTAAATTAGCAAATACTGTTTGTATAACTCTTCTAAGGTATAACTTTTAAATTTTTAAAATGTTTGTTTTGTCAATGTTTTTTATAAGTCACTGACTGCTATTTTTATCATTTTATCAGTAATATTGTTTACAAAACACTTAATTATTCAACAAATTATTTATACGCTAAAGAAGCATTGGATTTTCGCATCTGGTGGTGTTTGATAGCATTGTGTGAATTCAAGAATTGTCAATAATACATTTAAAGCATAAGAACTTCACATCATTTTTTAATAAATATCTACCTAAGTAGTTTTTCACAAAAGAAAGAAAGGTAGAAGTCTTACTTGACAAATTTTGTTCAATTGCACAGCTAAATCGCGCACGTTATTTGTGTTTCGAGTTGCAAGTAAAAACTAAAAAGCTTTGGTTTAGTACTCGATTTCGATTTATTATTTCTTTATGAATGATTAGGAAACTCAACGTTTATATGCTTATATAGTCCATGAACCGGTGCCAATTCATAATGAATTGAATAAATTTTAAAATTTTATCTACTCCTACATTGACGAACTGTGACTTTATATCATTTAGTCAGGGCCTGAAGTTGGCAGCAGTGGCTTTTGGGCATTTTAGTCACAGGCTGAATAGCCTTATTATAAATTGGGGAAAAGTTAGGTTAAATCCGTTGAAAGTTGACATATGTCAAATGTTTAACAAATAAACATTGTGTTCGTCGTAGATAAAGTATAGCATGCAACTCGTTTTATAAAGTTCTCTGGATACTCGTTTTTATTAAACACTCGCTCGCAAGCTTCACTTGTGCCTAAACTATTATCTACTCATACTGCATAATATAGGGTTTTTTCTGTATATAATGATAAACTTCCCTGCTTAGCAACGAAAATAATGAACTCAGGGAATCAGTGATTTGAACCAATGGAGTTTTAAATTGGAAAATGGCGACTAATAATATTTCAAATTGATAAAGAGTAAGAATATCTATTTGACAGATGTCAGATTTAATTTATTTAAAAATTATTTAATTTTCTACTTATTGGAGTAGACAAAGTATATTAATATAATATACATATAATAATTATTACACTCGAGATTATGCGCATTATAGCCTCTCTCGTATAATAATTTTTTTATTATTTAGTTTTTTAAGTATATGACTGAAGTCACTTTTTGATTTATTAAATTTACCAGAAATATTTTATTTCCTATGTTAGAATGTTATACACGTTGCTCCAATGAAAACTTGTACATTTCCCAAAATAACGGCTGTCAAAATGACAGGTCCAGAATTGACAGGTGCCAAAATAACGGCTGTAAAATAACAGGTTCCAAAATGACAAGTGTTAAAATGACAGGTTCCAAAATGACAGGTGTTAAAATGACGACTGCCAAAACGACAAGAGTCTAAATGACAGGTGTCGAATAATGACCGTTATTTTTGGCTATAAGCTAGTTCTTTATATTTTAGAAGTGTGAAAACTTTTCACTGAAAAGCTTTTCTCACAAGTGAAACAATGTATTTTATACAACGAACAAATAGTATTTTTTTTTCAGAATTATTGCCAATTTTATATAAAGTTTTACCTCACAACTGTTTTAACCTCACTTTTTACCAATCTGACTTTTTTTCGCACAGGTCGACCTGTCACTTTTTTATATAGAAACGTCACTTTTCATTCGTTTTGCCTTGAATAATTTAATTTCTTAGCAACAACGCCATACGGTTTTTTTTTTAATTTTATTGTTAGCAAAATATTAATATACAAAATAATAATAAAAATACATGTTTGGACTGGTTCAAAGCATTTAAACTGCTTCAAAACCGCTTTAAAACTCTTGAAAACGATTCGGTCCAAAATTTGTACCGGGACAGTCCATGGACCGGTCCAGATTTATAATGGCCAAAAAGTATATTTAAAAGTGTTCGCGAATGTATGCATTTTGTAATAATATATTAGTGTTTTATTCTATATAAATGTACATGTTTTTCTTATTATGTAATAATCTTCAGTGATATTTTATATTTTAACCATTGCTTAAGATACTAAGAAAAAAACCATTTATAATTAAAATTTAATTTAGGAATATGCCGAAGCATTGGCTTTTACGCTGGACGTAGTGGAAGGGAAACGCAAAGCAGCTAAAAATGAAAATGAATTTATATACCATGAAGAAGTTCCGGCCAAAGAGGCGCTACAAGAAGTAAAAGGTGCCTCCCTTGTTAAAGGAATACCATTCAGCGTAAACGATCCAGAAGTAAGTGCAAATATGTTATTTAGTTACTTGTATAATAATGATAAATAATGTAGGTATCTGGTCAGGATATTTTTGCTCGTTTGGTGCCTATGGAAGCCCACGAAGCCGCTTCTTTATACAGTGAGAAAAAAGCAGAGTTTATCAGAGAGCTTGGGGAGCTGGTTGATAATAAAGATCAGGCTGTGGCAGAGTTTATGTCTTCAATGCAGCTGGAGTTTTTAAATAAAGTACATTTATCCACTGGAATCCCACAGGAAATAGTTGATAGGGCGGCAGCAATGAATGCAAGACCCGCCGCAATACAAGACCTTGTAGACTCAATGGGCAAATTGTCTAATATTTTTCATGAAGTTGAGTCTATGCTTAATGAAATTGACATGCTTTTACAGGTACGTTTATATAAAAAATTATATTTATAAAATATTTTAAACTATTTAGTTAACAAAACTGTCAACTTTGACAGTTGACGGTTAATACAAGGGTCAGACAAATGTAATAGTATACCTATTCTGTAACAAGTTTGGAATACAGCATATTCCGCTCGAGTGAAAAGTTTGTCACACGAGCCGAAGGCGAGTGTGACGGTTTCACGAGAGCGGAATATGCAATTCCAAACGTGTTTCAGACTATACTTTTTCTACGCTTATAAAAAATACCAGAGAAATAATTTAATTGGAAAAAAGTTAGGTTATCTTTTGACAGATGTTAGATTTTATCTTGGTTTAGTAGAGAAGGTGGTTAGACACGGCGCACATTTTGGTAGCCACTGATGACGTCATTAAGTGTAACCTTAGGGTATGTTCCGTAAGTCAACTTGGTTGGTTTGGTTTCGGTTAAGGTGTCCCGTAAATAAAAAATTCCTGAAAATTATGTAGTTAAGAAACGCGGTTCCTGAAAAATAGGTTAAAAATCGTTACCGAAACGACCGACGCTGTATGATCGGTTAAATCGGTTACCAGTGCTGCAAACCAAATGGAAACAGTGTTGCCCTAAACAAAATTACTGTTTTTTGTTGGTTATCTAACCTAAAAATTTAACACAGGAGCAGACTTCGCATACAAAATACGTTTTGTCCAAAAATAATTGAATTCAGTATATAGGGTGTTTTAGGTTTGTTTATGTAACTATAGAAATATTATTAAAAATATATGCAAGTTGTAGTTTTTGACACAAATAAAAAATTAACTATAGAGATTTCAAAGAGCAGGTCGAAAAAAGTAAGTTGGGTTATGTTTTTTCAAATAAAGGTGTCCCGTAAATATGAACTAACCGAGAAAACCAGGAATTTATTTCAGTAACCAGACCGGTAACTCGTGTGTATTTACGGAACATATCCTTAGGCGCGTAATTTAAATGGTTGAAATTTTAGGTTAGAAACAACTAAATTTTAGTTAGTATTTAATACAGTAAATACTAAATTAAAAATTACGCTGACCACTTATCACTTGCTTTTAAAATATATACAGTAATTTTAAATTATTAAATAGGTAGGTACTATATCCACTTTTCATAAAAATGAGTTCTTTGTACTAAGATGTCTAGATTTTGGTAATGCTCTTTTAGAAAAATATTTAAACCACAGATATTAAGAATGTAAGCAAGTAACATAGAAAAAATAAAAAATCACAACAGCATTCTTTATGGAAAATGTTTTTTGTGACTTAGTACAGTATACTTCTGGTAACGGGAGTTGGGCTGACAAAGATATTAGTATTTTAAATAAACATTGCTATTAGGTATTTTTGTGAATTTCAGGAGAGGTCCACATTGGGTAAGATTATGGCCAAGCTAGGTAAAACCTTCTTATATCCTACATTCTACTATCTGCTGAGGCTTTGCATGAAATGCCTTATGTTCCTATGGCATACATCAATGAATGAAGGTCTCAGGAGTAAAAAGTGGTATCTGAAAATGGTTTCCAATTTTGCTTTTTTAATAAAAACATAATTATAGGATACTTTTCAATAAATGACATTATAGTAGATATTTAAAGTTACATTTAAATAGAGTTTAGTTTTACCACTTCAAGTATATGTAGAATAGCAACCTAGGACAACCGCTATAAAAAAACAGTCTCAATAATTAACTTTTATTAACAATCGTAACACGAAATATAAACATACATTTTTGAATTTAGAATTTTTTTTTGCCGGTGATTTTTGTCATTTTTTTCCCTATACTTCTGGTTCTATCTGCAGACTTTCTATTTAATTGTCGAATAATTTATATTTTCCTTATTTTGTAAACCACAGGCTTCTATCCATTTGGCCAAAACTTTTGGTGACTTTGGGAATGTAAAATATTTTACGCCTGTGTGTTTTGTTTTGCTATGATAGCTTGGACAGCCCACAACACAACACTTCATTGAAAAATATTATTAAAACATATAATAAAAATAGTAATATTAAAATGCGTAGAAAGTTTTTTATAACGAGTTTATAAAGATTATAACCTTTAATCATAACAAATATTTAAATATTTGACAAATGACAGACGCGCATGCGCAATTTGTTTAAACCAGGAGCTCTCAACATTTTTTTACACTTGCGCAACAGATGATGAAAATAAGTAATCGGAGTATCTAACCACCTTCTCTACTAAACCAAGGATTTTATGATGGTAGTAAATAAGATAATTTTTAAATAAGCTTATAAAAATTACTTACATAATTTTGCAGAGCCTAAATTAGGAAGTATAAAGAAGAAATGGACAAATTGTAAGGAATGACAAATAAGTTATTATTTGAATTTCAAATTTTGAATTAACTAATGACAGTGCTGCCATCTCTTTGGGACTAAGTCAAACCTAAATATTCTAATAGAATCCTACTAAATCGGCCAAACAAAATTACAACTAGCTTGTAAAGAAGATATATTTTGGGTATTTTTATTAACGCAAACTGTTTTAAATCCTATTGTATACTACCGATTAATATTTTCTACCGGGCCTTTCTGAAAAAACTAGATTTGGTAGGAATACAAGTGAGTTATAAAATAAACATAGAGATGTCGCCCCCAGTGCTCATTCCATCATTAGAACATGTGCGGAATTATTATTCTGTAACACTTTATGGAATATACGTAATTCCAGATTAAAAAGTCATATAAGAACTGTCAAATTCCGTAATAAGCGTAGAAAAACAATATTATAATTATTTTGTTGCTCTTAACGTTTATATCATCAATTTATTGAAAGTTAGTTAAAATATTAATAATGTAACTAAAAAGACACTTTAAATTGCTTTTTTGCACTATAAAGTGCATGGCATTACTTTTATGGATACCATTGTTTTGACATTAATCTCTATAAGTAGAAACTGTCTGTAGGATAAACTAACTGGATCTTAAATGGACATTGGTGCTGCACAACATTATTATAATCATAATCACTAAAATAATGGTCTCTCGGATTTTTTCCGTAGAGTTTTGTTGTGAATTGACATTTCCCTACAAATTATGTCGACATCGCTTTAGCTTTTTCGTGTATCCTCTTAACCCATTTGGGACAGAATTATATTTTAGGATTCTTTGGAAATGGCATTTCAGTTTTGACGGCACAGGATGTCGATATTTTTGTCAACATAAACGTCATAACATACATTTGCAATGATTTAGTTTGGTCTGATATCCTCACTCATATTACAAATAAAATTATACTTTGATATATGTTTTTAAATTAAAAAACGACACTGGTGTATTAACATTTTTAAAAGGTCCAGAACATAAAAAAACATTTTTTTCTAAATAATTTGATAAATTACACTGCGACAAATTTATATATACCTATTTAATAATAAAACCCTCACTGGGTTTGTAAAAGTAAGGCCTTATGAAGTTTTTGAGTTTTGGATAATTTATTTTAAATACTTACTGCTAAACAAATTGTTTCTTTTTTTTATTTATTTAATGCAATAAAATTAAGTTTTTGGTGTCAATGTTGTTATAAAATTCACCTTTTTTCTCTTTTTGTTTTAGTCTACCTTGCTTATTAATTAATTCTTTTTTAATTTAAGATCAGAAAAAAATGTATTTCTAGTCCTAGGGAATGAATTAAATTTTATTTAAAAAAAATAAATTTGTGTTTTAAACAATTTAAATTTTTGTTAAAAAAAAAAGTTCAATGTTCAAAATGTTGCCTTTTTTATAATTTTAGGTCGCCTATTACTTGCGTTAATAAACGTCTATATATATTTTTTAATTAACCAAATTAGGCTATTTTGATAAAATTATTTTTAAATTTTTTGCGTTAATATAATATTTAAATAAATTTAAATTTTTTAAACTTTTAAAGTCCAACTTTGTTGTTTTTTTAATTACTTAGTACCTACTAGAAATTAATTATTTCATGATTTTATGCATTGCAACTAGAGATGTAAAAAACGGAAAACATGAAAAAAATAGAAAAAATCGTTTTTTTTCAAATACGCCACAATACAATAAATAACTTCAATCTAAAAAAATGGAGTAATTTTTCAAAATGAAATTTTGAGTAAAATGTATATTAATAATAAAGTGAAATGTAGAATATATTACATTTTTCATTAATGGTCGTATTGGAGCCGTAAAAAAGCAATTTGAAGCTTTTAGTTTTTAGATTTTTAGATGAAAAACGTGCAACGCTCAATCGAAATTTTTTTGTCTTTCTTTTTTGGTCCACGGAATGTTCTGACTTAACCACCAATGAAATGTTCTAAAAAATTTGCTATTGTTTTTTAAAAAAAAAAATTATATAGGTACTCTACATGAATTTGAAAAATCATGAAAAAAGTGCTTTTGGTAGCTTTTTGAAAAATCAAGCGCTGAATCAAAAATATTATAGGTAGTTACTTTTTTTTAGGACCAAATCAAAACAAGCGCGGCCCTTATTGGTCAATTCGGTGGTGGTGGCGCGTGCAAAGCGCGAGAGTGTATTTACATTTACTAAATGTCATTTAGTGACTAATTTTAGTCCATGAACTGGACAGAAAACATAAAAAATTAAGCAAATGGGACTAATCTTGAAAAAAACTAAAATATGAAGAAAAAAAACATTTGAAAAAAACAAAAAAAAAACGGACTTTTTTTTCAAGTCGCATCTCTAAGTGCAACAAAAATTACTAAAATTGTTTCAAAAATTACCTGAATTCCTTAGTTTTAACAATACAGCCATTCCACGCTACTCGGGAATTTTTGTAGCGTCCGTTACAATCAAAAATTGTGAGTAAAACTACCGTAAGCCTAATAAACATGTTTTCAATAGTAACTATTGTAATAGTATTTAATTTAATTACGGTAGCTTTCACTCACAATTTTTTAATGTAACGGACGGTACAAAAATTCCCGAGTAACGTGGAATGGCTGAATAATTAAAATTATACAAAAAATATTAATAAAAATGTTTTTATTTAAATTACTAAACTAATGAAACAAACTGTATACTACTAACTAATAAAAAAGTTGGGAACACTAGGTATTCAAGTATTTCTGCCAAAAAGTCTTAAATTTTAAGTGAATATTAAGTGAGTTGGGCCAAAAAAGTAAAAAATGCAATTTTATGAACACAACCTCTAAAACTAAATTTAATTGCATTAATTGTTCGTAAAAATAAATTATTTTGAAAATAAAATCTTTTTACAAAGAATTAAAACAACTTTAATAAAATATTTAATTTTTAATCTTTTACAAACCAGTTGCAGTTACTATTAGGAAAAAAAAACAATTAAATTTGGTTTAAAATTTTGTGTTACACTGTGTTATTAAAAAATATGTTTATGGAAATTTTAAAACAATTTACTAAAGTCAATCTAATTTCCTTTTAATGTATTGAATTTTCATAACAAGGTTTTGTTTGTTACCAAAAATTTCATTTGACAATAACTTTGCCAAAAAATAAAATAAAATGTTTTTTTTCGAGTATGTATAGTTTTTATTTTAGGACGAAGAAAAAAGCGAGAAAGAGTATCAAGAGTCGATGGGCAAACGACCACCCAGTATTGTGGCGACCGACTTGGCTCGAGAGGCGGCAAAGTATCGCGAGGCGCATACAAAAGCAAACGACTCGAATCAGACGTTACACCGTGCCATGACTGCGCATGTCGCTAATCTAAAGATATTGCAGCAACCGCTCAGGCAGCTACAACAACAATTACCGAATGTTGACCTAAAAAATGGTAGGTACAATATTTAGGGATTTTAAGGTCACAAATACAGGGTTTTCTTAATTGGTTGCTAATTCTAAATGGGCTCAACTCTTGGATGATTTTAAGTTCATATTGGTTCATACTCGGGTTCATATAAACTTTGGTCCGCAACTGGGTGTTCAAACTTGAAAAAAAATTGGTAGATGAAAAACATTTTTTCTTTTCCAAAATTTGTTTAAAAATGAACAATGTTATTACAGCCTTAGTAATAGTTTGGCAGACTTCAAACTTATAATAGTAGCTATTCCTTAAAGTTTTTACCGTTTTTTAGCTATTATAATTTTCTAGATAAATAATTTTTTTGTATTTTTTTTTATCCCGGCCATAATAAATATGGAGACTTGGCAGTAAAAGCTATTTCTTATAATTTATGCAGAATTTTAGCTATTATAATTTGAAAGTTTCAGCTATATGACAATTGTTTTATTATTTTAATTAATAATCATCGTTGGATCGGGATATTGATTTTATTATATCATCTAAATTTTACGAGTTTTTTTTTTAAATCTAGAAAAATAGTGAAAGGTGATCCATCAGACTAAAATTCAAATAAAATTATAATAAAGTATTGACGACATTAAAGCGCTGTATTTTCGTTATTGTTTGTTTGATTTGTACAAACTTACAAAAATAAGGTATTTCACAGCATATTTTTAATTTACGTAAAAAAAAATCCCCATAAAAGTTTTTTTTTGAGCGTTTTTTATTATTAAATAAAAGGGCTTTAAGGATATTTTCTCGAAAAACCCTTGAGCACGTTAACTGAGATATAAGTTAAAGTATTTTTATCCAAAATTTTATAAAGATTGGTAAATGTGTTTTAGATTTTTTTTACTTATTATGCGTTAATTTTGACGTGCAGTTTATTATTTTGTGTAAAAATTCTCAGCATTTAAAAAAAATATTAAATTTAAAATAAAAATTGCCTCAAGGCTAGAAAAATCGACTTTTTCGCTTTAATCAAATTTTTAAGGGTTTTCCATTACTTAATAATAAATAATGAATATTTTCATTAAAAAGCGGAGAATTTTTTACAAAAAACTGTAATGTTAGTATTTTTATAAAACCTTATTTATATCCAAAAAAATAACAAAAAATATTGTATGTATTTAATCTTCAGTAAGTCATTATTTTTTTGTAGAGAATAACTCCACAAATTTAAAACATTCCGGTGGTCACACCCAAAAATAATTATTTGCTGGAATGATGTTTTTTTCTTTGCATGAATTTTATATAATTTTTTTGTTTTAATTTTTGTGAAAATTTGTTTATTCAATAATAATAAAAATAAACTTTATTGTAAAAATCTTTATTAAGGAAATACTTTTTTCTAGCAGAAATGCATGAAAAGTAATTTTTTAGTTTTAAAATTGTTTCAAAACTACCTATCTATAGTTTGAGTTTAAAATATTCACTGTGGCGAACATAATTTTAATTTTTTTTAATAAAATAATTTTGCGAAAACATGGTCAAAATTATTCAACAGGATTTAATTATTTTTATATTAAAGTCTGGTTGATGAAGAAAACCAATCATACTAAAGAAATGATAACTTAAATTAAAAATTAGTTTTAGTTTAATAAAAAATATTTAACATGGTCCTAACAAGAAAGCAAATTTTATGCTTTATTTTTTTTTATTTTAGAAAATGTGGACCATCAAGGTTTAGTGGAATTGGAGGCTTTAGTGAGCAAGGTTGAAGAAATGAGATCGCAAAGAGCGATGCTGTGGGCTGAGTTTCGAGAAGCTTTACATAACGACGATATTACAGGCGTTTTAGTTACAAAACAGCCGGAACAAACCTTGGATCAAGTTTTTAAAAAAGAACTTGAGAAACATAAACAAATGGTAAATATTATTTTTAAATTTAACGGTTCTTAACTGTGTTTTTTATAGTCTGACTTGATTAAACAAAACACTGCAGCCCAAGAAAACATTAAAAAAGCCCTGGTAGAATGCTACGCAAAAACATTAAACTCCAGAAGGTTTATACAGGACATCATCCAAAAAAGGCAAACCACCATAAATGCCTTAATGACGTCGTACGACGCTTACGATGACTTATTGGCAAAAGCTAACAAGGGCATAGAATTCTATACAAAACTGGAAACAAACGTCACCAAACTGCTACAACGTCTCAAAGGCGCGTGTAACGTTCAGCAGGAAGAGCGAGATCAGATGCTTTCTAAAAATGAACCTCGCAAACTGGAAAACGCACCACAACAAATAGTTCCGAGTGTGGTTCCGCCACAGTCATCGACGCCCAAACTAAAAGATTATTTGGAGGCCAGGAAAAACAAACCGCCAACACCCGCTCCTGCCATGGTTCCACCTCAAGCTTACCCACAATATCCGCAGGATCCACAGGTTTGGCCTCCAGGTGTCAGACCTGCACCACTTGGGTCAGAGGTAAAAATACGCATTTTATTTTATGACTACAATGATTGTATAATTGTATATAACAAGGTCTGTTCTATCTCGTTTCGCGCATACTAAAAATCACTGCAACACTGCACAGAATCTAACGGCGGCCATTTTTATGTTGTTTAAAATTCTTGTGCTTTGGGTTTGTGCGTTTTATATAGATTAAAACTCATTTTAAACGTTTGTTTCTTCTTGTGGGGGATGGTACATTGAAATTTCAGTTTGATGACGGCCCTGATAGAATAAGGTTCTTAGCACTTTAAGGCCTCATTTAAGGCGTATAAACAGCACAAGCCCAAAGCACAAGAATTGTAAACATTAAAATGGCCGCCGTTAGATTCTGTGAAGTGATTTTTAGAATGCGCGAAACGAGATAGACCTTGTTGTGTGCATTGTGCGTATAGTAATAAAATAGGTTATGCGGGTTGAACACAGATGACGCTAGTACGACCAAAGCGCTATTACATAGGGGTTATGTTCATTAATTTACTGCCAGTACTGAAATCCACTTTTAGTTACTGAGCTCAGTAATAAATACTACATTTTTAAGTGCTTTAAAGCAATTGGGTCCTGTAAAAAACGTAAAAAAACTTTTAAACAGCAAAAATACCTGTCAAATAAAGTGATGCATAGGGTTTGTATTTGGTGAAGAGCTGATAATATGTAATTATTTCATTAGATATTGATGAAATATTAATCAAAATATTTCCTATTATTTTTGTCCGCGTCGAAAAAGGTATATACAATATTATTTTCCATATTTTTCCTGCTGCGACAGCAAGGGCAAATATTCCAAGAAAACCATAGAAAAACTATGTAAGAAAACTGATCCGTCACTGGTACCTCATCTAACTTATCGCGTTAATACAATAATTATTAGTTTTAGGTCCGTTAAATGAACAGATTTTTATACAGTGCTTGCAAATCCAAGTCCGACCGGGTTGGAAAGGTCGGTTGTTCAATACCCGCGTGAAAATAACAAGGATAGAACGCCAAACAGGTGGTGGTAGCCTGCCGGCTCTGACCAACGAATTTTTGTTTGGCGTTCTATCCTTGTTCTTTTCACGCGGGTATTGAAAAACCGTCCTTCCCAACCCGGTCGGACTTGGATTTGCAGAACTGTATATTTTATACTTATATGTTGAACTATAACACTCATGTTTGATAGTAAAATTACATTCGTGTTGTTTTTATGTCTTACATATTATTCTACCTGTAGTTATTGGTTGCAAGTTGTATTCTTACGTTATAATAATGTAAGTATTCAGTGTCAGTTAAACGTACAGTTTTAGAAAAAACAGGAATTATGGGAGAAATAACATGCTGGAAACATACGGGGAAGTTTTGCTTTAGTTTTGGCTACTACACATCCATATTTTAGTAATGTAATCACAACGTGGCATAAACCTGTCTGTATACGATCCAAGAAAGTAACTGACACTAAACAAGTATTCTACATTTTAGTCACATTCACGTAATAGAACCGATTATACCACGTGGCAGTGGTTTTGGCAATTCACTGAACAGTTTCAAGTATAAGTGACCAATAAAAATGCCATTTGTTCCGAATTAAACCTTTTAAAGCAAAGTATCTGATTAAAGCTAAATCTAATAGAGTTTGTAGAACACTATTTAAAGCTTGTTTTAATAAAAAATATAATAGTGTTTTGGTTATACTAGTGACACCATAGTTTTAGTGTTTTCATAATGTTATGCATTTTTACCCTTGGTTTTTATGGATTTAAGATTTAATTTTATGGATTACTAAAAAATATATTTGTTCACTAAGTTTGATTACTAAAATTACCTAATATATTTTACTAAAATTTATGGTCGTATTAATTTAAGTACTTAACTTAGGTCTAATATTGTAGTATTATGAAAAACAATTGATAAGGACATAGTAATTTAAATTACAATAATGTTTATTTTCTATTATAATTTTAATGAATGTTCATTGTAGGTTAATGAACCGATGAACTCGAAAAACGCTCAAGAAGCCTATGGATACAGTAATCCATATTTTAACCAACAAACCTATCAATACCCAACTGATGTTTATGCCAGCCAAAACAACTACAGTGTAAATGATGCACAGCAAATAAACTACCCTACAGATGCATACAGTCAAAAAACAGTTTACAATGCATCAGAACAAACATCGGATAAAAATACAGTTATAAATCGTATGAATAATCTATCGACTTCCACAAACAGCCAACCAAATCCCAGCGATTACTACGGGGTTAAACCAACTTCTTACACCAGCTACATACCACAAAATTACCCAGCTACTTACAGTTACAACACTCAACCGACCGTTCCTCAGTCTCAGCCTTTGAGTTATACCAACTATGATCCAGCGAAGGCTAATACCACCTCAACATATTCGTATGTACCTATATCAAGCAACATTGGATCCTCTTTGCCCACACACAACATTGGATCCTCTTTGCCCACACCCGACACATCCAGCACTTACAGCCAATATAAAAACCCCGCAAATTATCCTTCCGATGCGGCTACAGGTTATAACAATCCCTCTTCGACACCAACAAGTTCAGTAGGTAATTATCAACAACCGACAAGCTATAGCGATGCCAGTAGTTACCCAAACCCGACTGGAAGCTATACCAGCATGAGTGGTAGCTACTCTTCTTCTGAGGTTGCAGCTCCGTATCAAAGTCCTGCAAGCGCCTACCCAAATATAACTCCCATATCTACAAATTACCAAAAACCTATTCCCGACGTATCTAACTACCAAAACACTGCAATGCCCAGCCAGACCAACTATCAATATCCTGATGCATACTCTCAATACTATCCGCAAGGATATGCCCCCGGTTATTCTAACGAAGCCGCCCCAGCCTCAGATTACCCCACTTATAACTATCATTCCAATCAGTATGCCTCTTCAGTGCAACCCAATGTTTCTAACGCCAACACTGCGACTTATTCTTCGCCCACCGTTGAGACCGCAAGTAGCCACACACCAAGGAAAAACAGCATGACTGCAAGTACGGATCAACAATACAATTATCAAAATTATCAGTATCCTTATCCAACTCAAACTCCACCTGCTGGGTATGCATCGAACCAAAACTATGGTAGTTACGATTATCAGCAAGGTCAAGGTTATAACCAACAAAACTACGCGCAGGGTACGCAACAACAGGCTGACCTTCAACAAGTTGTTCAGCCTGCACCCGAACCACAACCTAAAAAAGAGTCCAACATTGATCTGCTAACAGGTCTAGACTTTTCCATAAATCAAGCTCCTCTGGTGCCACAGCAAAAAACCATTGAAAAACAAGTTGAACCTTCCAAAGAAGAAATTAAAGCTGATAGAAAACCTAAACCTTCTCTAATAGAAAAAACACCTAGCGTGGAAAAACCTAAAGCTCCCCAAGTGAAAATTTTACCTAGCAAAGTATTAAACAACGAGGAAGTTAAGAGGCTTTTTAATCAAGAGTTGGAAAAGTTTGAGAAGTATGTGGATGTACTATCAAATAAAACGTTAAGTGGACCAACCAATTTGGATTTAAAGTGGAAGGAAATCCAGGATAAGCAGGATGCTGATGGACACAAAAAAATAATTTCTGTGGCACGGTGTTACCCAATGAAAAATCGTTATCCTGATATTTTACCATATGATTCTAATCGTGTGGAGCTAGTAGAACCTAAAGATGACTACATTAATGCTTCTTACCTAAAGGTAGGTTTTTAATTTTTATTTAAAGGATTTTATTAAAAATATATTTTTTAGGATGTGTCTCCTTATGCACCTTTATTTATTTTGACTCAAGCACCTTTGCCTTCAACTTTTGTTGATTTTTGGACTCTGATCAGAGAACAGCAAGTCGAGCTTATTTTTTGTTTGTTAAATGATAGTGAGGTTTGTTAAATTAAATTCTTTTATATCAGGTATCTTTCATTTGTTCTTTGTAGATTGGAAATGATGTGTATTGGCCGAAAGAAAAGGGACAAAATTTGACCGTTTCAAATATGGTGATATCTTTACAAAGTGTGATAGTTAAGACTAATTGGGTGGAAAGACTGATTTCGGTTGCAATTCCTGAAAAAAGAGAATCTTGGGTTGTATTGCATTTGCAGTTCACTTCTTGGCCAGGAAGTTTATTCCCAACTTCCCCTGAAAGTTTTGTTGAATATACAAAGGAAGTTATAAATCTTCATAACCAACAAAGAAATATATTTCATCCAGTTGTTGTCCATTGTTCCTCTTCAATAGGTAGAGCTGGATTGATACCATTGTTAACGACAGCTATTTTGGACGTAACTAATAATCCCACATCGATACCCGATTTGGCACAAATTGTTATGAAACTATCTAACAGCCAAAAAAATGTTTTAAGAGATCGAGAACATCTAAGATTTGCATATGAGGCATTTGTTTGCTACATTAAGCAAGTTGTTACACAAGGTAAGATATTTTAACAGTTAACTATAACAGTATGTTTAAAATTAATCAGCTCTAGAAAATAATTAAAACATGATTTTAGATAAACTCAAAAGTAAGCTAAACGATGTTGTGGTAAATTCAAGTATAAATACAGAAACTCAACCAACAGTTGAGGTAAAAGATGTGAATGCAGATCCGCTGAGTTCTCTGGACCCGTTTTGGGCAAGTAAAAAGTAAATTAATCTTTTTTAAAGTATTATTCATAATCTGTATGTAATTAGAATCGGAACCAGAATTGTATTTGTTTAAAATGTTAAATATTTTAACCTATTAACTAAAAATACGTTTTATTATCCTATTGATTTTAAATAAAATAAAGTTTTAAATGTATCATCATAAAAAGTGTTTTATTATATTATGCACCTAAATTAGGTGTGTTTTTAAAAACAAAACTTGAAATAAATTGTCCAGACTTTTTAGTGTGGTTTCTTTTTGACGATCGATTTAGGCAACCAACTTTTGTTATTTTCGGACGTTAAATAACGAGTTTCGTGATGTGATTAAATTCTTATATTTGAAAAACAGAAACAGAAATCAAATCCAAGTTGTTGCAAATATGTTTATAACACTTTATCATAAAGTGTTATAAACAGATTTGCACCAGCATTTAAAACTGTTTAAAATTAGGCAAATTAGGTTAACAAGGCATCAATAGTGGTCAGACCACTGTGGTCAGACCACTGTGGTCTTGATGCCACATGGCTTATTGGTTCTAATTTTGCACAATGCTTATTTTAGAGAATAAACTTAATCGTAAACACACGCGGTTTTAATGGCAAAATTCTAAAAACTGCACATCAAATTATTGCTGCATCCCATTATTCACTTACAAAATTTATATAGGTATTATTAATTTTTCTACTTAGTGAAAGCAGACATTCATTTTTTAGGTATACATTAGGGTGTCCCTTATTTTTTATTTTTTTACGCATACCCTCTAATTATATTTATTACGTGTTTATATACTCCCAGTAAAAATTTCAGCTCATTCTATAAACGGGAACCCGTGCCGACTTGCATCTGAACCCTCCGTGAGCCAACGTTAGGCGCGCGGTATTTTGTAACACGGTTGGCCGCTAGGTCTTCGATCGTAAGTCATTTTGTGTTTGTTATTATGTGACCCTTATATTATAAATTATTAAAAAATGTTAAAATATAGTTTTATTTATGTGTATACTTTAATAAAAATGAATATTTTTACAGGAAGTGGCTAGTTACCCGGAAGTGTCGGGTGAATAGGCCGTAAAACTAATTACCCGAAACTCTTTTTTTTATTATATCTGAATGACAGCTAAAAAATAACCAAAAAAAATTAGTTGATTTTATCCCTTAAATATATTAATATACTAATTAGTATTGCTAAAATATACTGTTATATGAAATTTCAGCTTTTTATAAGCATTTCTTTTCTTGATGTCCTTCCAAAAATATTTCAGACAGTTTTCGGTAGTCATCTCTCACAATAGACTCTTTTAGTTATTTAGAGTAAATCCCATTAAGTTTATCAATTTCAGAGTTTACGGCATATTCACTAGACCCTTCCGGGTAACTAGCCACTCCCTGTGAAAATATACATTTTTATCAAAGTATACACATAAATAAAAGTATATTTTAACATTTGTCAATAATTTATAATATAAGGGTCACATAATAACAAACACAAAATGACTTACGATCGAAGACCTCGCGGCCAACCGTGTTACAAAATACCGCGCGCCTAACGTTGGCTCACGGAGGGTTCAGATGCAAGTCGGCACGGGTTCCCGTTTATAGAATGAGCTGAAATTTTTACTGGGAGTATATAAACACGTAATAAATATAATTAGAGGGTATGCGTAAAAAAATAAAAAATAAGGGACACCCTAGTATACATATACCTATTGTTCAAATATATTTTTGCACAATATCGACAAGCAAGTAAGCTGCGTTTGCTTATTTTAGAGAATAAACTTAATCGTAAACACACGCGGTTTTAATGGCAAAAATCCAAAAACTGCACTTCAAATTAATGCTGCATCCACATATTCACTAACAAAATTTATATACCTATTATTTATTTTTCTACTTAGTGAAAGCAGCTATCATTTTTTTAGCTATACATACCCTTGCGAAAAAAATGCCTAAATTTTGGGCATTTTTTGGGCATTAGTGCCTAACTTTTAGGCATTAATGCCTAAAAAGTTAGACATGATTTTGAGTACCTAACTTAGGTATTATGCTTAACTTGGGAATAATGCCTAACTTAGGCATTATGCTTAACTTGGGAATAATGCCTAACTTAGGCATTATACTTAACTTAAGAATAATGCCTAACTTAGGCATTATGCTTAACTTGGGAATAATGCCGAACTTAGGCATTATGCCTAATCGATTTAATAAAACTATTCATTTAATAAAAGGGGTGTATTTTTGTATGTCGATATATTTATTTAAAAAAAATGAGTAGCCAAGCGCTTTCGTCGATTTAATCTAATGACATCATCCGCGCTAGCCCTAAAAAGTACCTAAGTAAACATTAGTTTCAATAGGTGGGTTAAAATTTTTTACTTACTTGTCAAGGCGAGCTTACATTTATATGTAGCAGTGAACATAAGTTGAAAAACATATAGCCCTGAAGGGAATTTAACATAACAAATTTTACATTTTATCTTTTACAGAAAAACCACGTAAATTTTGACGTTTAACTAGTGCCAACTTCATAATCTTAAAATTAGCGGGTAATTTAAATTAACTTAACTAATAAAATCAATTAAATACAGTAGTTACAACTCAAAAAGATTATTTAAAAAATAAACAATGGTGGGGGGAGGACGGAATCAATAAATGTTTTTTTTTCATCATCAATCATGAAATGCTTATAGGAAATGTTTAAATAATGGTTTAAATTTCTATTTAAATTAATTTGTGAGTTCAAGCATTGTTCAGGTTTATTTTTGAATGAGTATTTCCAAATCTTCAAATAGGTCTAGTTTAAGGCTGTATTTGTTGAGATCTAGGTTATGTATGTTTCTTGCTTTCGATGCTGGACGGAAGGAGTGGGAGTTGTATTTAATGTGATGTCCGAAGGAGGATGAGCTTGGTCTTTGAATATGTTCTTTTACTTATTACATATTAGACAAAAAAGTAGCATCTACCAGTCATATACGTATCGTATATGCCTAAAATAGGTATTTAATCTCAACACATTGAATCATTGAATTCACATACCAAATTTTTGAGCAATTAATCCTAACTATTTGGCATTTATGCTAAATTATTGGGCATTAATACCCAAGTTAGGCATTCAACCCTAACTCTTAGGCATTTATGCTGAACTGTTGGGCATAAATGCCCAAGTTAGGCATTCAATCCTAACTCTTTGGCATTTATGCTGAACTGTTGGGCATAAATGCCCAAGTTAAGCATTCAATCCTAACTCTTTGGCATTTATGCTGAACTGTTGGGCATAAATGCCCAAGTTAGGCGTCCAATCATAACTCTTAGGCATTTATGCTTAACAGTTAGGCATAAATGCCCAAGTTAGGCATTCAATCCAAACTGTTAGGCATTTATGCTTAACTGTTGGGCATAAATGCCCAAGTTAGGCATATATGCTTAACTTTTCAGCATTAATTCCTAATTTTTGGCATTTATGCCTAAGTTAGGCATTAATGCCCAAAATTTAGGCATTTTTTTCGCAAGGGTATACCTATTGTTCAAATATATTTTTGTCTAAATGTAGGCGCACCAAGTCAGTATCCTTCTATGTGTATTTTTTTATTAAAAAAGCTAGAAGGTCGGTTAAATTAGAGAAAAATGCCTAATTAAAGCCTATTGTCATAACTTATGTTGTTTGATAGGTATATTGTTGGATTTCTTGATTTTTTTTTGTTAAACCATGTAAAATTCTATAGTTGGCAGATGCTCTAGCGCTTTGCAAAGTGCTCATAAGCGCTCATTAATGCTCATAAGCGCTTATAAATGCTCGAACATTTATAAACGATGAAATATAAATTTGATAAAAAAATATTGAAAAAAAATTTCAACAAAATAGACGTAAGTAAACCATTTTGGAATTGGATAAACCTGCACCACTTTTGTGACCTGCCTATGTTCTGATGTAAACAGTAGTTATTTCTTGGTTAATTTATAACCCCGTTTTTTAGTTTTGGCGCCAAATGCAACCATCGAGCACTTTGGTAAATGCTCGAGCATTTATTTATAAGCGCTCGAGCATTTATTTATAAGCGCAGCAAAGTTTTCGGACACATAAAATGTCAAATCTTGAATAGAACCATATTCAGGTCCATATAATATTAAAGAATGTCCTATTCAATTGAGAAAGTGGCTTCAGTGCAAATAAAAAAATATTGCCCGTTTTCAAGTTTTATATAAAACTTGAAAACGGGCAATATTTTTTTATTTGCACTGAAGCCACTTTCTCAATTGAATAGGACATTCTTTAATATTATTACTCCATATTCATGCAAACATTTAATTTTTTCATACCTAAAGGGTTTAATTTTGAAATTTCTGTTCCACACAAGTGTCACATTTTTTTAAGTTTATTATAAATATTAATCGGTATAACACTTACTTTAGCACCTTTTACTTTGTGTAACTTCTTGCAAACATGCTTTTTTTCGTTGTTTTATTGTTGTTAAAATCATTTCATTTTTCTTTAACCTTTGAACTTTTCTTAAAAAAAAATAAGCTGAAATAGAAGCACGTCAATAAGTCTGCTATGCAAAAAGTGATTGTTTTACGAAATCGGATTTGAAAAAAACTTACTTAAGTCTCTAAATAACAAAAAACAGTATATCTTGAAATTTGTTTAATTTTATCCAGCATCTAAAGTAGGTGTTTCTAATGACTTTGAATGGTTATGTAAATTATGATAAATAATAACCAGTCATTAATCAGCCAGTTACATACGTTAAAAAACTAACGCCCTAAAGAGCGCCCTTCATGCATCCCCTACACTCATTATTCACGGTCTAACCGTGCAGAATAGTTATTTTGCAGCCCCAAGTATAACTTGCATGTTATTACAATAACTAGCTTTTATGCTCATTAAGGTTGTAAGCTTTTAAACTTTTAAATTCTCAATACATGTTTATTATTTGTATATTTTGACAAGGCTTATTTAATATTTTATGATAATATTGGTTTACAAGCGATAGTCTACATAAAATATATTTTTATTGTTTTTATTGTTTTTATTCATTTAACTGAAGCGATCACATACAAAAGATAGATACAAACGACAAATTACTTTAAACAAGAATATTTTTAACATGTTTTTTTAATTCTATATAAAACCAGATACTAAATAGCTTCCTTAATTGATTATTTAAAAT